GCTTTTTCTAGGTCAATATAACCCTTTTTAGCAACCCTTATTTTTTTTCTTTTGGTTTTTCTTTTTTCATTCGTCTTTTTAGTGCTCTTATCAATACATTCTTTATCTCTCTAAACAGATAATTGGTCAAATCAGTAACCGTTTGAAATTCCAAAATATTTTAAAACAGAACAAAATACACTCACTTAAAATTATTCTTGAAACTGCTATTATCTAGAAACAATATTTATTAAAAACAAAATAAAAAACATTGATAAAGCATAACAAACATAGCATTTGCAAACAAGCAAAATATATTTCTGTCAACCACACTACATTACTACACTACATCACTTTCATTAACTTTTTTCTGTTCCATTACTTAATTCCGTGCACATTTGAGTAATTTACAGAACATAAAGTGCTTTCTAGAATCAGAGGGAAAAAAAAAAATGACCATCTATTTTTGTCAACTTGTCAAATATTTACACAGACAAAATGTGTTGCTAAGGCGTTGTTATGGACATTTTTAATGTACCCATATTCTAAAACCCTAGTTTTTCATCTTTATACTTTAAAAGACCCATCAAATAATATATCATTGGAAAGAGTACAGAATGGCATTTAAAAAGTATATGTATTCACAATTTTGATTTTTTTTTTCAAAATCATTTTTTTTTCTAGGGGACACCTTAAACACTATTCTCATGAGAAGTTACCAAAATGATATCGCTCTAATGATCAAGGCAGCTATACTTGTTGCACTGGCGGATATGAAACTTGTTGCACTGGCGGATATGAAACGGTCTAGTGAAATAACAGAAAAAGCCCTAAAAGACAAAATTGATTTTTTGGTCAAAAATATTAATGAATTGAAAGAAATTAAATCATCAGCCCCGCCATCATTTGTATCTTTGCTCACGGATAAAACGGACGAGAGTAAACAGCAACAGTAGCAACTAAGTATCTTTATAGCCGCTCAAAATAAAAATATACAAAGTCGCGAGTTAAACTTTATTGTAGTTGGTCTTAACAAGTCTAGCACAGTAAACGATAAAAAGCTTGTTGAGGATTCTTTTTTAGCAACGGGATTGAAGGATGCTACTGGTATTGTACGTGTTAACCGCATCAAAACAAGTAAAAACAAAGTAGAGATGTCAAACTCGAACATTATCCAGGTTTCACTATCTAATCTTTTATCTCGAACTGAAATACTCAAAACATGCGCCCACCACAAGCAAGAGACATACAAGGGTGTCTAGGTTCGCGAAGACCGAACGCCAGCGCAACAAACTGAGTTTAACGCCACTCGCACCCAGCTCAAGAAGCTAAATGACGAACTTGCTGCTGCTAACATTCTAGATAAACCGTTTCGGAATGTTATACATCGAAGGACAGATCGCATCAGTTGCATCAATGTCATCGAATCAACGTCCAACCAGTGCTATGTGTTTACATCCTCAGCCAGAGCCCTGGCTGACTACGCCAGTTGAACAGCTGCCCTAAATCAGAAATCTCTACTACTATCTAGACGTTCTAGACAAATATCTAAAGCAAAAAAAAACAATTCAGCCGAACTCTTCCACTGTTCCATCTAGCCATCTACGCTACTGGGCAATTAACCCATGCTCACTCAATAATGATAAACGCCAAGAGCTGTTGGCCAGACTCTCTACTCTGCCTAAATCAAGTTGGCCACAAGTCATATTTTTTGCGGAAACTTGGTTCACAGATTTCTCAGACGTTGCCATACCCGGCTACTAATCTCATTGCAAAGACAGAAAAAATAGGGGTGGTGGAGTTGCCATTTGCACAAAAAAAATAATATTATAGTCAATGAAGTTAATTCTACTCAGCTCAACTCAACATCAGTTGAGCGAGTTCGGTGAAAAGTAAAAATGGGCGAAGAATCGTTTCTCCTCAGCTGCTTATATCGCCCTCACGACCTTAATGATCAGGTTCTTACTCATTGTATCACATCGATCACGGCCGCTCGGCAGATACTGCCTAATATAAACTGCTCGACAATGCTACTATATGGAGATTTCAATTTCAGCCATACATGTTATGAATCTATCGAAGTTAACGGTGGCATTGCAACAGTTGTCCACGTGAGAGACCAGCGTCAAGGCGATATCAGGTTTCAAAAGTGCCTTGATGAATGTCACCTAAATCAGCTTGTCAAATTCCCAACGTATCGTAGTAGTCAACACGTCAAGCCCACTAGCACACTTGATCTGATCATAATAAACAAGCCAGACCGTCCCATCTTCATCAAACAAGGTGATTCTCTCGGTAACACTACAATGAGCCAAGCACACTGCTTCATTGAAGGTCAACTCGCTGTTGTAGGCCCTGATAACTTGCCTACTTTGCCGTTACAACCTCGACTTATTTGGAGCCGAGCAAACTACGCAGCAATATCCTCGCACGTTGCAGCTGTTGATTGGGAAACAGAATTCACTGGTCTAAATGCAAACGATAGCTACCAGCTTCTAATAAATGTGTATAATGAAGCTATCAATCTATACATCCCATCAACAACTACTCTCTTCACTGAAAAACAGGAGCAATGGGTAACACCAGATCTTATTAAGGCGGTCAAAGCTAAACGCGCCTCTTGGGCCAAGTTTATTAATGCAGGTCGTGATGGGCACCAATTACTCAAAGAATCACATCGCACCGCATGCAAAAACATTACTAAAATGGTAAAATCTGCCAGACTTAATTACAAAGAAAAACTCGCCAGTGAGTGCAAAAACAACCCTAAATGCTTACATGCACATGTACAAAGCAAACAGAGCGTTAGAAACACTATTACATCGCTAGAAACAGCTAATAGCAACATCACTACCAATACCGACGATATATGCTCATTATTGAATAACTATTTTCATTCGGTTTTTGTTTTAGAGCCCGAAGATCTATATTGCCAGCTTTCAAAAGTCGTACTGAAGCATTTATGTTGTCGACTCAGCAAGTTTTTCTATCGATATAGTACAAAAGTCAGGCACTTTTGTATTACCACCTTGATGAAAGAAAATCAACCGGCTACGATGGTTTACATCCACGGGGTCCTTAGTAAATGTGCAACTAGCTTCGCCAAACCACTTTCACTTATCTAAAAATGCTCGTTTGCGACTGGTGTAGTTCCCGACTTGTGGAGAAAATTGAATGTAATACCAATTTTCAAGAAGGGGAGTAAAATAAATGCATCAAACTACCGGCCTATCTCGCTCATATCCATTTCATGCAAAATAATAGAAAGCATTCTTAAAACAAGTATAATGGAACACTGTGTTGCTAATGACTTAACTACTTTAAAGCAACATGGCTTTGTTTATCGCAAGGGTTGCGTCTCAAACCTGCTAGAAACTCGGGATATCATGACAGAAGCCATTCATCGCAGCCATGCAGTAGACGTCATATACACTGACTTTGCAAAGGCGTTTGACAAAGCGCCACACAAACGCCTTCTTCATAAACTAAGAGCCTACGGTATTCAAGGCACGCTGTTAGACTGGATCTCAGCTTGGTGGCGTGCCTCAAGACTCGGTCTTGGGCCCATTGCTCTTCGTAATCTTCATTAATGACCTGTCGGACAGAATTAGTCATCATATGAAACTGTATGCTAACGACAGTAAAATTATTGGCATAATCAAAAACGAATCGGATAGCATCACTCTCCAAGCCGACATTGACAGAGTAGTGAAATGGTCACATATTTGGCTTATGCATTTCAACATTGAGAAATGCAAAGTAATGTATGTTGGCCGCACTTGTAACAAGATGACACACAATTACTCAATGGCCAACATTGATGGCACGCGTTATCCACTCGAAAAGACTGTAGTTGAACGAGACCTTGGTGTGATGGTCTCCAAAGACCTTAAAGTGAGACCACAAGTAGAGCCAGCTGCATCAATTGCGAGTAGAATGCTAGGGCGACTCAAAAAAACATTTTGGAGTCGCAGTTTTTTATTTATTGCGCACATTGTATCTTATTTACATTCGCCCCCACCTCGAGTTTGCTGTTCAAGCCTGGTCGCCGCATTTAAAGTCCTACATTGCTATCCTCGAACAAGTCCAACATCGAGCAACAAAAACAATATCATCTATTAAACACCTTTTAAAAAAGCAGACCTAATCAAACAACTTAAAATCACGCGTCAACTCAAACTTATCAGTTTTTTCGTTTGACAAAAACTTTCAAACAGTAAAGCCAAGTATACCCTTTGACAGGGCATAATCAAAAACTAGAACGCCAGCTTTTACGAAATTGTGAAGAACGACAAAAAAAATTTTTTCGAATAGAGTTGTTGTCCTATGGAATGCGCTTTCCCAAGCAGTAGTGAACGCTCCATCTATCTATGCTTTCAAGAACAGTATAACAAAGTAACTTTTAGAGACACAATTGCTGCTTGTCTGTAGCTTCTGTGTTTTTTTAATTTTGTCAGCAAAGAGGGGCCTGGTATAGCACCTCTTCATCAAACTTTAAACAGATTTATTGTATTTGTTTTTTTGTTTTTTTTTATCACTGAATAATAATAGTAACAATAATAATAATAAGTTGAAAAATTGACAACTTTCGAACTTTTTAACTATTTTGAAAATATTTTATATTTATGCATGCGTAAAAATAATTCTAATAGACGTCCGAGAACATACTATTTTAGACTTGTATGTCCAAAATCGTTGAAATCCAAAAAAGTATGTATTTGAACATCCATTAGACGTCTAAACACGTACCATTTTGGACTTGGACGAGTGGACCTAAACAGTACGTACTATGGACGTCCAAGAACTCCTGTGCCCATTGGGATAGAGACGGAGTGAGAATTTCTTGAAAATAAATGAAATGTTTTCTCTTCTACAAATAAAATATAGATATTACAATGAAAAAAATTTTAATGTAACTTTATAAAAATTTTTAATTAATTTATTCCTTACATAATAATATATACTTTTTTTAAACATATTTACGTATATATGTTTAATATTTAATAATTGTTTTTTTTTAGTTTTAAACAGTCCAACTGAGATTATTATTACAACTAATTTCAACACAATTGAAGCTCAGTCAACTATATCAACAGCCAATTTGTTTTTCTATAAAAAACCAACTAATTCAGAGTCAGATGTGCTTATAATATATGTTAAACTAAATGGAAGTGTAATATCAACCATATCAGTTTCAAATAAGTACACGGGTTGGCTGGATGCTGATGTCAGCGCTGCGTTGCAAACATGGGTAAAATATTCAAATGGTAAAACGAATTCTTTTTCCTTAATATGTGACAATTGTAACGGCAACAACTTTGAAGTATCCAGTGAAAATATGCATGTTCCATACTTGATTATAAACATTGTCAAAGTTAAACAGTTACCACGCCAGCAACATAAAAGATGGAGTTGTAACCAAGATGCAAGTTGTTGTTCTCGTCCTGTTTATGTCAGTTTCGAAGATTTAAGTTGGAACTGGGTATTATCGCCAAAAGGTTTTTGGACAAATAAATGCATGGGAAACTGTAAAGACAATAAACAAGGAATTAATAACTGCTGCATACCAATTGAACACGAATCAATAACAATGTTTTATTATGATAACGATTATATTTTTTACGCAAAAAAAGTTAATAACATTGTAACCAAAGAATGCGGGTGCCGCTAAAATTTGATTTTCATTTTTCAAGAACAAAAGCTTCGAATATTAACGAACGTGTATTTTTATTATAATTATTATTATTATTAATCAATTAATTTAAAAGTACATGCTGGACGTGTTAAAATTTTACCTTTTTGTGTAAAAATTCTAAATTGAAATGAAATTCAACTGAGATTCTTATCTTTCATTACAAACTTTAAACATTTTATGGAGTATTTTTTAGGTTTTTAAGTTTTTAAGAACAGTTTTTAAGGCAATATTTTTTTAGCTTTTATTTTGATTTGCTTTTTATTGGTTGGTGTATTCTTGCTGGTTTTATAAAAAAAAGTAAAAAAAATTATGTGAGATGTATTAGTATTCATGTTTATTTTTATTTAAATGTTAATTAAAATTTTTAAAATAATGTTTTGTTTATTCAAGTTTATTTGTATACTTATCAGTGCCGGATTAAGGAAAACTGTGGCCCTAGGCACTAGAACTTTTTGGGGTCCCATTTTTGCATTTAAAAAGTTATTTTAGTAGGATTATTGAGTAATAAAGTACGTACATTCATTAATGTAAATATTTACCAATGCACAAAAGCCTTTTCTTCATAATTGTAAAAAATTATGTAATAAATCTGGTAGGGAAAGGTTGCGTATGTTGAGCATATTAGCAGTGTATTGTTTTTTTGCAGCCGAATTATTATTTTTATACCAATAATTGCGTTATTTTCAACACACTTAATCACCTAATTTAGGAAACCAGTTTCCTAAGATGAGCTTTTTTTAATGGAACTCAAAAAAACTCAAAATAGCAAAAAAATAATTACAAAAAAAATTGTAATAATAAAAGTGTATCTTCAAGGACTATACTTAAGTAAAAAATAATTATCTCAACCATAAAAAAAAAACAATAATAAATCTTTCCTTTCTCAAAAAAAGTTAACAATACTATTTTTTGAAAAATTTTTGCTCCTAAAATACCAAAATAAAGCTCCGCGGAGAACAACTTTAAAAAATGCGCTTTTCTTAATAAAAAGTTCCATCTCATCTTGAGCGTCTAAAAAATCATCTTAAGCAAATTCACCAAGTACTATCAGGGTTGCCATCTGGTGTTTTTTTAAGCCAGATTTCTCAAATTTGGTTTGTTTTTTTATTGTTTGGCTTGGAATTTTTGTTTTTACTTTAGAAAATCTGGCCTAAATCTGGTCTATTTTAAAGTCTTTGGTCTTATTTTGTTTGTTCTGATATGTTTTTCAAAACCTGGTTTAATTTTGGTTTATTTAATAATAAATCAGTTTAATCAAGTTTTTATTTCATAAAAAATGTTAATTTGAGGAAAAGAAAGATTTCCATTTTTTCGTTTTATAGAAGAACAATCAAGTTAATAAATAAATGAAAGAAATGCTTACGTAAAAATCTTAAAACGTTAAAAACTTTTACTTGTAATGTCATTCAAATGTTGTTTTTATCCCTTAATTGCCAAAAATGTTAGAAAATTCTTACATTCAAAATGACATTTTTTTAGAAAAATCTCCCTGTATTGAATGTTGTTTCCCAAGCTGAAAAGGCCATTTCAAGTCTACAGTTATATCTTAAGAATGCAAAAGGTGGATAAATTGAAAATCATTACAGAAATCGTCATTAATCATAAACTAGTTAACATTGCATCATTAGAGCGAGTCTAAAAACTTTTAAGAAAAATTAGTTTCTAAAAACACCGCTGAATTCTAGAGACCATTTAGATGTTTCCTGAGATCTAGACCTTTGCAATATAGATATTTACTGCCACGGCTGTCTATGTGTTTTGTTTCTAACTATTTTGTTGAGTCTTCTCACAGGTCATCTGCATAAAAATCAGACTAAGAAAATATCAAATTAAGTCTTGCATGCAGTCATTTGGGTCAAACCATATTTAATAAGGCAAAAGATTTTTTACCAGGACTTTGAAATAATTGAGTCAATTATTGCAGATGTTGGAAAAGAAATCTATATCCATATGCAAGCAAATATATATATATATATATATATATATATATATGTTTATATATATATATATATATATATATATATATATATATATATATATATATATATATATATATATATATATATATATATATATATATATTACAGGTTGATAGCGTTGGATTTAGTATAGGTGTTTGGGAATGAACTAATTTACCCACGCCACTTTAAAGGCTGTTCTGGCACCCAATTAAACATTCACTAAGTCATTCTTCTCCTCCTCCCTCACTCTCTTACAAATTAGATTTTAATATTCAAAGATGAATTTTTGGATAAAACAGCAGTTTTTTCAAAATATAAATTATAAACAAGGCTTTAAAACAAAAAATTATGATTTTTTTCTTTTTTTTTTATTTTATGGTCTGGTTTATTTCTGGTTTATTTTTGTTTCATTTTTGACTTGTATCCGAAAAAAACCTCGCAACCCTGAGTACTATCATAATTTAAATGGCATGACAACAGCTTTTGTATTATCTCATATAAACCATGGAATTAGTAGTAACCATGGAAGCAGTAGATAAGCATAAAATATAGGGGATGTAATAATTTTTTGATGATCTTGTTTTGTTTTGACGTAATTACAAAATATTGAATAATAAAAAATTATAACGGGGATGGTTAATTTTTTTAATAGTAAAACAATCAAAGAATATTTACTATACAACCAAGAAATTAAAATAAATAACACCGCCAAAATTGTATGAATATCCTTAACCGAAAAAGTTCGCGAAAAAATCGAGGTTATACCATCTAATTAACGATCTTTATGGTTCCCCTATATATTATTTTTTTAAACATACATTTTTTTTTAATTATTATTTATTATTATTATTATTATTTTGTATTTTGCCTATAAGAAAAATTTACAAGTTTATGCAATACAAATATATAATACATGGCTGGGGCGAGAAGAAGACGAGTTCAGTTTTATCACCAAACCCTTTAAAGATAAAGACAGCGATTAGGCTACGAGAACAACTAGCTTAAAAAGCTAAAGAACCACTTAATATTGTAGCTAGCGTTACGTCGTCTGTGAAATTTTTTTTGATATGTAGCTATCAACCAGGTATAGGTTTGTAGATATTGTGTAGCTAGCTACAAAGCTACGATATGTAGCTAGCGACACATTGCTACAAAATCGCAATGCCTAAAGTTAATTTTTCTCATAATTATAATAGACTCAACACTAAAAATCGAATTTTTAAAGATGTTAAAAACATCAGGAAAAAAAAAATAAGAAGAAAAAAAAACATAAGTGAATGTAAATTATTTTCAACATGGTGCAAATAACATAATTTTTTGAGAAAAACGTAACTGGAACTAACTGGAAAATAAAATTAATAAATTCAAACTTCTTTATAATAATTATAGAACTATATTTCTTTATCTCTTAATATAAAAAATTTATGTTATGTAAACTTATTAAAAATTTTATACTATAGATTATAAAGATTTATAGTTATTATCTATTATCTCTAAATCTTTATCGGAGATCTCTGTAAATTTAATAAATACAATACAACTACAATTGTATTTGTAAAATATTTTTTAATATAAATAGTTTTAATACCTTTATTAGATTTACAGAGATCTCCAATAAAGATAAATAGATATATACTTCTTGCACACACGCATATATATAAGGTTGCATGGGCAATGTGGGGCTCATTTTGAAAATTGTGCGGGGGGGGGGGGGATTTCGCTACTGACTACTCTAATGTGCTTAATACAAAGGTAGGTGGGGGTGGAAATTTTAGTCCGGATGTATAAAATGGGAGGAGGATATAATAAAAAAGGGGGAGGATTTACAATGAAAATTTTATTATTTATCGGTTACCAATATATATTTGTTTAATTTTAAAGCCAATTTTCACTGAATTTTTGTTTTAAGATATAGTTTTTTGTTTATAACAAGTGAAAATGAACAAAACGAGCTTGGGGTTGGGTTTTAATAAGCTTGGTGTGGGAGGAGAAGTTTTCCAAAAATTATCGACTCTCCCCCCATTAAGCACCTTAAAGCATTTTTATTATAAAAGTAGCGAAACCCCCCTCCCCCCACACGATGAGCCCCACATCGCCCATGCAACCTAAAATTAGCTTAAAAATAGGACACTTTTTCTTTGCTACCCCCTCCCCCCGCAGTTTCTAAAAACAGACGTGTTCAATCTAATAAATTTTAGTTATAAAGAAGTATATTTAGAAATATATTTTTTTGTCTTTACTTTTATTATGATTTAATTGATTAGATAATAAAACAAAATTTAAGTTTATAGCCTCCTGCCCCCCCCTCCCCTTTTAATATAGGAAGTAAATTACCAGTGTTTTAATTGGTTGATTTTAAAGTGAACGCGCGTTTTTTCCGGACCGTTAGTAAGATGTTTAGAAATGCTGTTTATAAAAATATGTATTTGTAAAAGTTGCTAAGGTTTTTAACATTGTTTAAATATCCGTTGTATTTTTTCTAGATGCATTACTACTTTAATTAAAGTTTGGAATTGCTTAACTAAATCATTTTTATTTATAATAGCTTAATTATGTGTTGTTTGATCAAACAATAAACTATAAATGTAACTTAAAAGAGTGTTATAAAAGTAACAACACTTTAATTTTATTACTTTTGTAGTCATAAATTTATTGTTTTGTTTTTCATAACATTTTCACTAACAAATTAAAGTTTATTCGCCTATTCCGTAAATTTCGTGGTTTTCCGTAAACTGAAACTTTGAAGACCAGATAATTTAACAGATATCGCAAATCGCGATGCCTTAATTCAACCCTTGTTTTAATAAAATGCACCGACTGAAATATTTTTGCTAAATGTAAATTGCAGAACATGAAACAGTAGTTCATTACTCTTTTTCTGCTACTCATTGTTTGCAAATAGATTTTTGGTCGGTATTTTGGAAGGTAGTCAAGTAAACTTTTGATATCTTTTTCTATGTATAGCATTCAAATAACTGATAACATATTTTTATATATTTAAGATGATTTCAACATAAAATATTTACATATTAATATTAATGTCATCCTCATCAGTTTTTTGTTTAAAGCATAGTTTCTTTGTTTTGCATTTGATTTGGAATTTGATTGCCTTATTTTTTATTTTTGTGAAATATTTAATTCAACAGAAACAGCAAGTTTTGAGATAATTTTTTTTTAGATGCCATTGTTGGTAACAAAACTGGGTACGACGCCAGCAGCATTGATAGTGTCATTGGCGACATTCTTAAAAGAGCGAAAAAATAATGTTTTTGGGTTGTTCAAATTTTCAATTGTTTATTTATATTGTGAAAAATGTTATTATTTTCATTGTTTGTAATGATTTGTGTCAATACT